AGCATTAGCCATGGTGATTTCAGTCAAACTATGACCTGGTTACCGGTTGAATTGCGCAGCCCATCTGATGGATTGCCAGACTAGTAATTCAGAGGTCACTGGTTGGAGTGACCTGCAGTGACCTTGATATTTATTTCAATTTTGTTTATCACTTGCTACCTCTACAGTAGTAGTCTGCTAGCCAGGCTACGTCACAAATAATCTGACCATTAAATACTCAAATTTATTTGTTAAGGTATCATTCTATCAAATCACAATTTGAATTCACTGTTCATATGACTTGTGTAAACACGGAAAGGTACATTTGTAACAACAGAAGACAAGGGTCAGGCAACAGATCGTTTTATTATGGAAATCAACACGTATTTATATAAATTTCACATACATTGTTATAGCTTAGTCAAGTAGACAAACACAGTCTTCTGATTGGTTGTTTTCGAGTTTTTCGGAAAGTGGAGCCATCTATCTGCGATTCATATTTGCCCACGTGTAAGTTTGCTGTGATTGGTTGTTGAAACAGCCTTGTTCATATTTTCTCACGGCCCATATTAGTTACCTAGACATTGACGTAGATTAATGTCAACCAATTGGCTAGCAGGTTGCTCTCACCACACATTTATATACCTGTTTATTCATTTGAATCTTCCTTTCTAATCAACAACGTCTTTTTTACACTGGAATCATTTGTGAATTAGATCTTACAGTGATACATTTAAGGTATATCAATCAGTTTAAATGGATTCACTTCATAAATGCTTGGGAAAGTGTGATATAAGAAATAAAGACATCATATGACATAATAAATAAAGGCAAAGATAGTGTGGATATATATGATAGTTAGTTAGTTACTTAGTAAGTTTAAACTTAATTGTTTAACATTGCAAAACACTAATTCCTAGTGAATTGTAGACTTGAGAGAGTGTAAGAATTGCAAAAATTGAGGAGTTTTCTGTATGCCTTCTCTATTGTTTTAAACACTTCACCGCTAGTGAAATTTATATGCTCAATCTTGCTTACAGATCAATCTCTGTTTCATTTACTGATGCTTTGCACACAGTAATTGTTTTTACTTAGGGTGTATGGCTCACTTGTCTATGCTCTCGACCTCCAACCGGTGGGTCACGGGTTCCTTAAACCCTACTCTACGTACCGAGATTTGGCGAGTCGGGTGAGGTATCACTAGCCGTCTCACACAATAGGAGCGTCTGTCCCTCCCCCCAACTGCATGGAAATGCAAATGATTGTTGACGACTAAGTAACATTTCGTTTTTTTTCTTCATAATGAAAATAGGGGTCAAGTATTCGTATACCTTTGGATATCCACTTGCTTTTTCACAGACTCAATGCAGCCTCTTTAAGTATGTGTGGTATATAACTGAACAAGTTCAGATTGTAGGCTAATCTATACCCATCGAGTTTGTTTGTTGTTTGGTGAATTATATCTCAGTCAATTGCTTTATGTAATTACTTGGGCTGAAGAAACTACGTTTCTGAATTGTTGTTAGATGATTGGAAGGCAAACAAACAAGAAACCTTTTCTAACCTTGGTTTCATACTTCTTGGCACTCATCAGCAAGGCGTATCTACAGTCTTGAAAGAACTCATGTCCATTCTGATATTCGAACCTTGGTGACCCAGTGTCTCAGTCAGAAATGTTATCACCGAGTTCCTTTAGGATTAATGATACTCTCTGCTGACCGACCGGTAAGTACCAACAAGCATGAAACATAGGTCAGATAACGGTTACTGCCTGTTTCCTTCAAATATATAATAACAACTCATAGTGTACCATGAGATGGCCAACCACCTAGTGGCATTATGGCCACATTTCAAAATTGACTGATAGGATTCAGTCTGCACGAAAGTAAGCATTAGACACATGTCACTAATTAATGCCTAGTGTCCTGTCATTTATAGACTTTTGTATGTGTTTTTATTTCATATACAACAACATGTCAGTTTGTTTGTGATTATTTTTAAAAGTCTGTTTGATGTCTTGTCTTTTTTTTCCACTTCTTCCTTATTTCCACTTTCATTCAAGTCTTCTAATCAATATTATCATTCATATACAGCCTAAATTCTCTTACATATTGTAATTTTCCACTTTTACTTTTGTCTCGATGAAATCACCTAGATCTTGCAAACCATCACTCGATCCAGTGACTAAACAATTCGGCATATTTTGGTATGTGTATCTGTTGTTATTCTTCAAGGGTTTAATCTATTTATTGTTTAGTGGAAATGCTGAATTATGGAGTTCTTCTACCAATGATCATAGCAGTAAAATAATTGATTCAACAAAATGGATCCCAGTTGTAGTGAATTTAAATTCAACTGACCAAGATTTTAAGGTAGTCAATCAGTTGACTGAGATGTCTTTTTTTATTCTTCTTATTTTGTCCTCCGTTTCAATGATTTACTGTAATTCTTTTCTGTTCATTTTTCTGAAGTTGATTTTCTTTCCTGCCTGTGTGTATTACTCATTATTCTTTTGCAATCTCTTTGGTTCATTTCGATAGCCCCCCCCCCTTATCATTCAATTCCTTGCTTGTTGGTTTACTTGTGCCCTTTATATTATCATCACGAAGTTCGTTAGTATGAGAATGATACAAAAATTTACATAGTTATGTGATTTCAGGGTTTATATCAGAAATTTGAGTTAACAGGGAAACAGAGTGCTTCTAAATTGTGTAAAACAATTCCGATATGCCTCATTATCTGCAGTATTATTTTGTTTACCATATTTCCTATTTACGAGTGGAGAATAACGTTATACTTGAGTTTCTTTAGAGTGAATTATACATTAAATAACTGATTATTGATATATATATATATATATATATATATATATATATATATATATATATTGCCGAACAACTGATTTGATTGGTTCTTTGGAATTGGCCATCTGATTATCCAATCACATTTGTGAGTATCTTTTATCTCAGCAGCCAATGGATGAAGCTGGTTCAAGCCTGTAAAATATAGTTATTTTAAGATTATTCAGTTGATAATGACTATAGTCAGCTGATCAACTGTGATATTAGTAAACTGAAATGTACTCATCAGAGTACATGTAGACGTCACGCTGACAACAAAATGTAGACCACTTATACGTTGTCTGCTCGGTTGATTTAAGTTCTCTGACATTAGGGCCAATCAGATGAATATGACCTTCATCCCCAGTCCGAAATTTAGGGGTCTGTAACAATTATTTCATAGGATATTGTATTCGAGATGAATTTTTTGTGAGTAACTTGTTCCAAAAAAGTAATCATATTGTTTACTTAGTGAATACTTGTGTTCTTAAAGGTAGAGAGTCTGTTCCCTTTTACCCTTACGTATAAGTGTCCCTAATGTTATCTGGTGTTCTTTCATTTGTTTTGCTATTCAAAGACTTTTCTCAAATAGTCTTGTTCATATTGAAGTAGGTTGGCGAGATTCTTACGTTTTTAGCTCTTAGATTATTCAATTTTTCCCCTACTGAGTATTCATTTAACTTCAGAGAACTCTTAGTGTCTTATAATACGCGAGTAGTTTCAGTGGAATCATGTTCTTGTCGATAAGGTGACTCATTGCCCTAAGCACTTGATTCCCCAGTCAGTGCATTAGTGGGTTCAAATCTCACTCTACTTTGACTTGGTCTACTGAGCCACAATAAGTATAGCTTATAGGCGCCTGGTACATGACCATTCTGTCTCTGGGTATTCTACTTCTGACTAACTAGTAGAACATAGTAGAAACATACCGCAAAAAACATCGAATAGGTTTTAGCTTTTTCTTAATTTGAAGATTTAGATTAGTCTACACTTTCATATCTTTCAGCTATTCAGTAGACAACTTTAAGATCTTCTACGGAATGTAATTGTCCATTCATATATGTCCATGTATTACCAAGACACCCACTGATTTTTTTACCGTTTACGTATAATGCTTAGGTTAGTTAACCTCTGACTGCGGATCAAGTTCCAAAGCATTTGCAGTATTTTCGTGTAATTCATTAGTTTCTCCAACCTAATAAATTAGTTATAAAGCATTTGACAAGTTGTCAGGTTTTATTTTCATTCAAAAACCAACATATTGTTGGTGAGTTTTTTTATCTGGTATTAATCTATTTTAATTTTAACGATTAGCTCAGATAATCTGGTTAGTTCATAAAGTACAGTAAAATTCTCTTAGCGTCATGTAAACCTCTTCCAAATATCTGTCTATCCTATGCTATGCTATACTTCGGATATTTCATTTACTTAAACTCAATTGAATTTTATAATTCCTGACTAGTGAAGTTTGTTGAGGGTCAGTAGTTCAATGTTTGGTGGTCGGTTATCAGCTACGCAGGAGGTTAGGGCTTGATTCCCAGTCGACATAGCCCTAAACCTCGTCTAGCCGGTTGTAAGCTCAGAAAAGAGGCGGGTGAGTTTGTGTGTGAGACTAACAATTCCACCTCTTGCAATAGACATCACCACAGCCGAGAATTCAAAGCTTGAAGCCCTATGTTCTATTTGGAACGCGGAAGAATAAAAAATAATTAACTGAATATATTAAGACGCCAGTTTTATTAAGATTAATTAGTGCAATTATTTACAGAGGTGTAATTTCTTCGTCTTTATCGTAAGTAATTACGTTACATTCATGAAGTCCCGTTAAATAATTACGATAATATGGGTTAAGTGAACTCATGTGTTTTTCAGATGTTGTTTCAAAGTGATGCTTAGATAATCATAAACTGATTGTAATTACTTGCACCGTAGAATTGGGTTCTTTCAGTACTTAGTGAATATTTGAAGAAGCATATACATATATGGCTTTATCAATTGCGCCTGAAATGATTTACAAACTCAACCAAAAGCCTATTTATTAACAGTCAAAGTAATATTTTCGAAAAGCTGTTCTGAAAATTGTGCTTTTCGTACGGTGTTGTAAGTCATTTCAGGTGTTGCCTGTACAAGCCAATAAACTATCTACTTATTAATTCTTAATATTTTCATTTTATCTTTTAGCTAATCTTGGAAGGTACAATTCCTGCTGGATATCCGGATGCTAGAATTTGTGTTGACAATATTACTTCTTATACTGAACCATGTAGTGGTAAGTTATGAATAAGCTGCGATTATTTTTAAGTCTTCTCTAAAACAGGCCTTTACTTTCAAACTATATCTTAAATTGATAAGAATAATTAGAGAATACAGGCTATTGAATTCTAAACTCATTGTCTGAATGATAAACTGCTAATCTTTCGAATTAATCGTCCTAACTTTCAACTTGCATAGGGCTAGTTGTGTTTGCCTAAATACCTGAAATACTGAGTTTCTACGTAGACCTTCGCACAGAGATTCATGTTGCCACATTTTATGTAGCATACAAAGGTAGTGAAAACAAAAACAACCAAATAAACTTTAATGAATAAAAGTGTACGGGAGATAGAATAATAATGAGGACCAACATGACCATCTAGTGTATTTGGTAGGTTTCAAAGAGTGAGTGCATTTGCACTAATAAGAACAATTTTGAGCCATATCACCAATAGTCTCAAGCCATTGATGATTCTTAGCATTTGGAGAATGCTAGTCAGGCGATCCACACCTCCATATGTGGCTCAAATGAACAGTCAGAAACTTCATGGATTGATTCCAGGTTTTCGTTGACCACCTTTAACTCTTTTCCAAACCAGTCACATGTTAACTAACACTGACCGTTAAGGAAGGTGGTGCCGTGTGTGGCATGGATAGCTTGTGTGATAGCCACCTCAATCGATTTAGCTTCACAACCTCATTGATTGACTTCTATTCCTTACTTAACATTCTACATATAACTTCAATGTTACTCATCACATTACACCACCCAACACGGGATTTAGAGTACATACATCTGTCGTGATAAACAGCTAGCGTTTTCTTATCTTTTTCAATAACCATGTCTCACAACCATAAAGAAGGATAGAGCGTGTTACCGCTCAGCACAGACGTCCTTTAGGCGATAACCGACTATCACATCTATGGCAGAGATGACATAATTTTATCATCTGTTACATGAGCCTTCTATATCCGTGCTGAGAATTCGTCAGTAGTCAGTTCACCATCAGGGTTACTGCCTTCATTTAAGATTAAGATATAAGAAGTATATAACCATTTGGTACTTTTTAGTCAGCCGTGTTCCTTGTACTGACATATTGGTATACGATGATAAACTATGTCCTTTCGACTTATAAGCAGTTCAATTTACTACGAGGAATGAACACTTTCACCTAAATTTTCTGAAGATTTTCTTAATTTTATTTTAACTTTATATGCAACACTAAACTGTTAAACGCGTAAGATTAGATGTTTAACCTTCCGGTAGCATGTTAATGATTATATTTAGAAAACTTCACGACTTATAATAAAAATTGCCTTCTTAAATTGATGTTCTCAGTATCTGATATTCTTAAATGTAGTGTTATACAAAGATTGGCTTAAATGCCAAGTATAATTGTTGGGTTCAACTTTCACTAGGAAGGCATCCTCCCTTACATCCAGCCTGATCAGTCTATCTAGTCCATTATTATTATTGCTATTTTCGCTTGGGTTCCCAGTGGAACATAGGGTTTTAGCAACACATCACCAATTTCTTCTACTCTCTGCTGTCCTCTTCAGCTGACTCCACGATAGACCCGAATCTCATCTCATCTCACACGATCTCCTTCATATCACCCTCGGACGACCCACTTGTCGTTTCCCATTCGAGTTCCACTCGAGAGCCTTCGCGTGATGTCATTCGGCGACCTCCTCAGTCTGTGCTATCTCCGTCTCCATTTTCTTCTACATATTTGTTGAACGATAGGTTCTTGGCTACTTTGTTAAATCTCTCTGACTGGCTGGCCATTTGGTCTTCAGTATGAAGCCAGCAAAGATAACTGTTGATAAAAGTCTGTAACTTGTTGAAATCTTTTTCGTGACGTGCTGGCCACGTTTCTGACTCATATAGGAAAACTGACTGACTTCACATTTGTATTGAAAATCCGAATCTTATTGTTTATGCTGTCTGAGTGACAGCAGAGGTTTTCCAAACCGATTTCATTATTGATGAAGGCGTTTCTTGCCACTCTGATTCTTGCTTTGAAATTCTTTTCCGTTCAGCGTGCCTTTGGTTGAAACAATGCTTCCTAGGTAAGTGAAGGAAGTAACCTTTATTATATACCCCGCGTTGATGGTGACTGATGCTTGCTGCTGGTGTTGTTCGTTGATTATCTTTTTCAACTCAGTTTTCTCTATGTTCAGTTGAAGTCCTGTCTTCGCTGCCTGCCTCTTCTACCAACTTCTTGGTTTTTGCCTGCGTGACACTGAACATAAATCATATACGAAATCCAGATCTTCTAAGGTCTTCTTATCGGCTCAGCGTATTCCTGTCTTCTCACTCCCAGTGCACAGTCTGATGCATAATTCAGTCCACCACAATTAAGAATATCATCGGTGATAATAGGTAGCCACCTTGTCTTACTCCTGTAGTCACTTCCGCAGAAGGCTTCCCTGTATTTTCTGTCGTGGATCACTTTCTTGTACTCTGAATTGTCTCTAGCAGTTTGATTGATTTTCTGAAGTATAGTCGCTAGCCCTATGCCCAACCTTCCCTCTTCTCGTGGGCTTTGAACTGGCTATTAAGCTAGGCGAGGTTATCCAATCCATGAGTGATATTTAACTTAACAAAATATCACATAATAACAATTAAAAAACGTTTTCAGTATAACCTTCTAAGTATACATAAAATGAATGAATGATAAAATGAATTACATTCTCTATATGGGACTTATTATAAGTAATCCCTTCTAACTTCTTAATTTACTGAGTGTATGAGGAAATTATTTTACTTAGCGTTACCGATCAAGAGGGAAAATATCCCCTGTCTAATGATAATATTTGTATTTCTTTTGATTAACAGCTTTGGAGAAAGCTTCTGCACCATTAACAAATCAATGGAGTTGGGCACAATACTTTGGACTGACATTTGTCGGTGCCTTGATCTTAGGCTTATTAATACCAGTGCTGTTTCTAATCATTCTTATTTGGGCATGTCGTCGACGTCATCATGCTATGCATTCAAATTATACAAATAATAAATTATTTTCAACAAATCTTTGGTATTATATTGGTGGAAAAGAGATATGCGACGATCCGAATGGATTTCGTGGTAGTTCAAGTCTGTTGAGATCAAAACAATTCAATTCACCATCGAATACAGGTACGCTGTTGAATGGTGTCAGTGGTCAACATCATATGATGATGAGTAATGCTGATGTAATGGATTTACCGGATGTTGTAATCCCAGGTGGACGTGTTGTAGCATTCAATTATTCAGGTAATACACTAGGCGGGAATACTTTACGTCATAATAGCATGGCTAATAATAATAATACTGGATTTACAAATACTGGTTACCTATCAAATAATAATAATAACACTAGTAATTTACAAAATGGTCAAGTTATGCTAGGAAATATTAATGGAACAGTGTCATCAAGTGGTTCAGGAGTTGTTAATGCTACAACTGTTGCACGTAGTTGTCAAAATTCAATGCCACTGGTGTCAACCGAACTGATTCAACAACAATCACAGAATCCAACACAACAACAACCTAACGAACCATTCGCTTATCCAACTAATCAAGCTTTTGGGGGTAAGCTTTTATTTTATTTTTTTTAACTTGAATGGTTGATCATAAATCACAGTCATTATCAAATTGGATTTATAACCTACAAAAGAATAATCACACCACAGGATTCCCTTAGGTTCTGAGTGGAACACAGGACTTCAACAACTATTCTACACTTTATTGTGTTCTCCGATATCTTTTTTCATCCGATTGCACAACAGCCCGTAAGCTTTCATCTCGTCTATGTCACCGTCGGAAACGTCCCCAATTCGTCTGTCGTGAAGGTTCAAAGCAGATTGTCTAGAATTATTAATTTTGTATTTTATTCTTTTATGTTCTCCCATTGGAACACAGGGCTTCAAGCTAGAGCTTTGAAGTCCCAGTAGCAGTGATGTTTATTTTTACATTCCCTCTTTATCAGTGTTACTATTGGCTTAGCGCGGTTCAGGAGTGCTTCAGCCGGAGATTGAACCCCGTAGCACACGAGGCGTGGTTGGTGAACATTCTACCGCTGTGCCACCGACTGTGTAGGATAGTAAATCATATCTCCAGGTCTTTTGAATTACTTCTAGTAAACATTTGAATGCTTACAATGAAATAATCACTTTTGTTGTCTGTCTATGCCTTTCTTTGTTTTTATTTATTCAGAACCTGTTTCTATGACAATGTTGACAGCTAGTCAATCACCAATGTTGATGACTCAATCAATGGCTCCAAATTATGGTTCTGATGCAAATAATGCCTCTCAAGGAATTTTTTCCAATGTAAGTTATATCATTTAATACACAATGCATAATACAAAAACTATATAAAAATAAAGCTTTTAAGATGATTGAGTAACTCAACAAACGAGATAGTGAATCTATACGTTTTAGGATTTCATCATAAACTGACATCGGTAAGAAAGCCATTGGAGAATCTGAGAGTACTGGACAGCTGTTTCATTCTAGTTTGCGACTGTTTAACAGCAAGCACCTACTGGGGTTCGAACCCAGGAACTTCTGGTTAGGATGCGAACTCGTAGACCATTAAGCCGCTGAGACCTGATCCAATGGTCCATGAATTCCAACTCCTTCGAATTCATGATATGCACGACCACTAGCGAATGTTATCCATGCCGAGTATTTGTCCTCACACACGACCTGTTGTGCCCTACTGGTTACGACTTACCACTAGAACCCAGTTAACTACCTAGACGAATAGGGCAGTCACTAATGGCATCATATTGTTATTCAATTGTTGGTTTGCAGAGATTTGATTGGTTTCAGGATTGGCAGACGTTGGAATTCATGGACTATTGAACCACATCCCAGTGGCTAAATGTTCTACAGGCTCACCTTATAATGAGAAGGTCCTGGGTTCGGACTTCAGTGGGTGTGTACTCATGAAAGGTCACAAACTAGGATGAAACCGCTGTCCAATACTCCCAGGTTCCCCAATTTTTTCTGTAACGGATTTCAGTTCATGATGAAATCCTGAAACCAATCGAATGCCTGCAAACCAACGCTTGAATATATAAGTGATAAAAACAAATACAGACATCTAAAAATAGAGGTTATACGATGTTCGATCTAGTAGTAACTGACATTCACTAAGACGTGCTTTAATCTTTATTTCCACAGCTGACGCTGTGATATAACTCCCTGCTTCTGTTGAGCTCAACTATTAGAATTGAGATCCCAATTTGTTTAAAGTTATTTAGTATTTCCCATTGTTGATTGGTTGGGTTGGACCGAAATGCTCAGCCTCTATTGGCATGTCGACTCCTAGTACGGATGCTTGGACGATATTTAAAAATTAACGTGATGTTATTTTGATTGGTGGTGACTAGTAGTGGAATCCAGAATGTGCATTTTGTTTTATTTGATATTTTGGCCTATTAGATAACGCTTTTGGTGTTTGAAACAATGGATGCAGGCTTCGAGTCTCAGTGGGAACGGCATCACCCAATGGGGATGTAGGTACGTCTAGATGATGAGTCGCAAATACGGCGAAATGTGTATCCTGGATTCCACTGTTTATCACAATCCACTCTATGAGATCTTATTTTATCATTCTGTACAAGGATTTTCATAAAGCTTATAAGTTTGTTCTAATTAAAAAACAGTATTTGCATGCGACACTCTTTTAAAAACATTTGTAAGTACTCCAGAAAATAGACACTACAGTCAAATATCATATATTGCACAGTTTACTGGTACCTGTAGGGCTTACAAGTGTCGACATGACAGTATGTCATGTCATCCACAAAACACCTAGCACTATTACAAGGCATTTTAAGGCCACATAATTTATACAATTGGTGGATGGTGGCTAGCAGTGGAATCCAGGATGCGCATTTTGTCCTATTTGGGACTCGTCATCTGGATGTACCTGCATTTTTCAGTGAGTGATGATATATGTCAGAGGAATCTAGTGAAGACGTCGATATATATATATATATATATATATATATATATATGCCAACAAAATAGAATATCCTGTGAAACTTGTAGAATAATAAACACCCACTAGTTGGAAATAAGGTGGGAGTGAGCATAGATACATTTTCATCAATGCAATTGACTTGCACATAATGTTGATGCTTCAGTGAATTTGCAAATTAGTTTTTCAATCATTGTGGATATCATGCTGTCCTGCTTCTTAAGAAAAGCTAGCCACCAGTTAAAGAAGCACGGTACAACTTCGTTCTAGTTTGTCGTTCTTTATAAGTGTGTCCCGACGACTGCACTATATATCGTATGATGTGGGATCATTCATCATTTGGCCATCGAGTTTGAATCCAATGATCCATGAAATATAAGTCTTCTCGATTGGTAATGTAGTATCGCCGCCAACCAATACGGAATACTGAAGAGTCCTAAACTGGGACAAAACAGATGCCTAGTGTCTATCGTTTTCAATAGTTTTCTGTCTGATATTTCTTACTGACTGAATCCTTTCAAACGCAGAAAGCTAGATAATTTAAATCTGGCTCCATATTAAAAAAATTTTACTCCATATATGCTGTGTGATTTTTATACTAATTTTATTTAACTATCACGTTTTAGACTAATGCACCACAAATGAATCATTTCAATACAAATGCTCACGTCTACAATAAGCCACAAGGTCAACAGCAACAACAACAAAATCAACAACAACCACGTGCACAATCTCAATACTTTCCTCCAGCCCAGTTGACTCAAGCACCGAATGCCATTCAACAACAACCTCAACTCCAACCCCAACAACAACAACAGCAACATCAAGGCCCACAAGTATTTCAACAACCTGCCCAACCACAACAAACACCACAAATATTTCAACAACCAACTCAACAACAACAACAACAGCAGCAAATATCTGGATTTCAAAATCAAAATCTTGTCCAACAATCACAACCGCAACAGCAACAACAACAGTTAGCACCTAATCAGGCACCGGTTTCAAATCAATTTCACACCCAACAACAGCAACAATTTCCACTACCGCCTCCACCAACCTCTCAACAGTTACAACAATTGAACACGCAACAATCTACGGTGTATTCACAACCACAACCGCAACCACAACAACCAGTCAACCATCCATTTCAGTTTCAACCACAACAAAATCAACCGCAACACCAACAACAAGTGATCAATGGTCAACTGCAAACTCCTATGACTACTGGAGCCACACAAATACCATCGTCTCAACAAAATTATCAACCTACAGTACAAAGTAATCAAATTACTCCCAACCACAACAACAACATGGGAATACTGGGAATAATAATAATAATAATCTGAATAATGGACAAGGAGTAATGCCAGTCTCAGCTAATAATCGTTTTGTCACTATGTCTCCAACGTCTGTGGGTAGTGATTCACTCACAGAAGCTGATCAACAAGCTGCTATGGCTTTATTGGCTGCTGCCACTGAAGGCATGATGGACACGTATAATCGCAGAGAGAATCAAACAACACCGAGCACTTTTCAGTCACCAATTTCAAATAACAACAATAATAATAACGGAACAGAGAATTGTTTAAATAGCGTAAACAATCTGAACAATTGCAATAGCAATAATAATACACAAGTATCGACTGATGAAGATCATCCACCTCCAGGATATGATGAAGCTATCGGTTTAATACAAAATAATATAAACATGTCAATGATGATGAATACAATGGCGAAACCAGCTGTACCAATACCGAATACCACGTGTACTCCACCGCCTGCATTACCACCGCGTAGAATTATCAATGGAGTTGGTTTAGAGGATATTGAAGATCCACAGCCTATGGCATGCTTGTCGCTGGCTGAACGTTATGGTCTACCAGTGGCTGAAATTTAAGCTAAATGCAATCAACATACATAATAATATTTACAAAGTTGAAATGGTTATTTCTCTGTTGAAGGCAACTCTGAAACCTGACTGTCCTCGCTTGCTGTTTAGCATGAATACGCATCATTGTTTGTGCGTGTGTGTGTCCTCTCTCTTTATCTTTAGTAAACTTTTTATCAATTTGCTTAATCACAACAATGTCTCTTGCTGTCATCTTGTCATTTGTGTGTGTGTGTGTGTGGTTATTTCCTCTCATTGCTTATACTAATTTATTTTACTCCTTGCATTGCTTTATAATATCACATTATGATTTCATTTTTTTTAAAATTTTATTTATAATATATTGGCTTTATTTGCTGCTTTAGTAGTTAGTATTCAATTCATCATAGTTAATTATGTTTTAATTAATTATATGATATATTCAATAATAAATATACTACAATTATTGGCTTATTACTGCATTCATTGACCAGCCTAATGACTTGTTCATCACACATGTTGTATACACTCACTCCTGTGTATACCACCGCTGCCAATATACAACACTCTAAAAAATGTTTACAATTGACTTTGTTTTTCTGAACTTCTTAAGCATTTTTGAGAAATTCTACTTTCTGGTCGAAAACAGTATTTGTTGTCTCTCCGTGTTAATGTTGTCAGGTTTTGTTCATCTATTTGTCGTGTCTAATAGGTGTTTGAGTGTATGGATGAAGTTTGATTATCACTATCATCACCATCACTACCATAGTTTCTTTTATTTGTTGTTTTTTTTTATCACAAACGCATAACTTCTATACTTACTTATAAACAAGACAAGAAAACTATCTTAGTGCATTTTAATTTCACACAGACACTTATTTGTTCCCCCACCCTTCCATGGTTTCCTTATGAAAACTTATCGTTGACTTCTTTACTCTAATATTTCTAATTATCTAATCTTTTCAACTTGTTTTGACCTTTTTCCCTTTTGTTAAATGCGCTTATAGTGAAATGTTATTTTAAAAAGGTACATAAACGTGAACTATAAAAGAAGTAAGTAATTGTCAACAACGAATTATGCTATTGTCTCATACGTCATACAATGTGGCAGCAATAAACACTGGCTATCCATCTAACAACCTTACCGATACTACTAACAAACTTATATGAGTAGTCTATTTTGTTGTTGTGCTGACAATCCTTGAAATTGTTTTAAAAAATGACTCCGACTGCCAACTTCCTGCAAAAGTAGTACTTCTCTTATTTGTTTCAAGGTGGGGAGTTTTATCCCTCATATTGAAAACCTATTCGTACATCTAGTTACCATTGTCCTATGCTTGGAATGACTGATTCATACATGTGTGTGTGAGTGTATGCTATTGAATCGGAAGACAAAGAATCCAATGTTCAACATAAGTTGGTCCGCAAAAGTCGACGAAATGAATAAGTTTAAACACCAATATACACAAAAATAAAAGCAAAGCAATAGGTTTCATACACCCTAACATAACACCCCTACCCGCATACCCCTACTGCCACCGCCTACCACCACCACACGTACCCGTCTTGCCTCCCCCCTTTGATTTATTTAATTATACCCTTAGCCATTTTATGCAAGCTTTTGTTCTGTTCTGGTAAAACTGAACACATCTTCTTTTCACCGTTGCAATACTGACACTATTGTCATTGAATTTTTTTGTTTTCTTTTTTTCTCTCTTTTGGTTGGTCAATTATTCAGTGTGTGTGTGTGCGTGTCTGTGAGTGTTACTCCTCTTCTGCCATTTTTACCATGTTTGCTTTGTCATAATCACCGTAATATTAATAATAATATTGTCATTTATTTTCATTTTTTTGTTTTGATTTAATAATAACCAACTAATCAGTGTTTTACCAATTAATTTCTTTATTTCATGCTTTTCCTTTGCTTTAAATAATCATGATAATGATAATAATAATAAATGTTCATTTTGACTCTTAGCCTTCTGTTGAAATGTTTTTGAATTTGTATGTGTGTGTATGTGTGTTTTTTTTTTTTTAACTGCTTTAGTCTTATTTGAGTAGAAGCTGTGACTATTACCTCAAAAATTGTTCATCTTTCTGCAAAGCTTATGTGTCAATGTTCCGGTGGTAGGAATACTCGCCAACCACACCTTACTTAGTCTGGAGTTCGATTCCCCGCCGACGCTTACTCCTAAATCTCTCTTAGTCTCGGTAGTAAGGCCAGTGAAGTAGGAAGGTTGGGAGGTTCGAAAAAAAATATGCCTTCGAACCTAGACTAGATCTAATGGTAATAATTTATTTCAAACCTGCTCAACTGGATGGACAAAATCTTTTCAATTTCTCTCATTCCTCTGTGCTTTGAATGGAATATGGGGCTTCAAGTTGGAGCTTTGAAGTTCCAGTAGGGCAGTGGTGTTCATCTCTACAGGATGTGATTGCTGGCTTCATGGTCAACGTTCCTAATTTACCGGCTAAAAGGAGTATAGGAGTGTATCAACTGGGAGTCGAACCTGGATCACGTAAGCTGTATCTGGAGAGCCTTCTACTCCTGAACCACAAACTCGCTGAGACTTGAAGCAACCAATGCCTCTTCTTGGATTCGGACGAGTGTCATCCAAGGCTTCAGTCAGAGATGTTACCAGTGAGCTATTCGGGATCGGATAAAAACTAGTTATCAGGTAATATGAGACGATTCGTAGCTTAGGTGAATGATTTTAATGCAGTTGTGGTTTTTACTTTGTGAACTAGATGGTTTTGTAACGACAGAAGGCAAGAGTCAGGCAATAGATCGTTTATTAAGGAAATCAACACGTATTTATATATTTCCATGTACATTAATATAGCTTATTCAAACAAACATACACAGTCTTCTGATTGGTTGTTTCTCACAGAAAGTTAGCCTGGCATCTCTTTGTGGCTGTTTCTTGAATGTCAGGTCATCTATATATTAACTGTATCCACCTACGCAAAATGGCTTGTCATTGGTTGTTGAATCAGTCTTTGTTCACATTTTCTCACGATCAATATTTGGGAAATAAACATTGACGTAAATTAATGCCTACCGATTTGGCTAGCAGCCTGCTCTCACCACAGTTTCATTATCTTTTCAGGTAATATTTTCCACCACAGACTTCAATATGAAGTTGTTTAGAAAGACGATACTGAAAGCTTCGCAATTAAATCACCTAGCTCAGAGAATACAACGACATCAAAAACTAGTTCGCTAATGGATTTAGAAAAAACACAGTTGTTTTGTTCAGTAAAGAAATATTTCTCTTCGACGACTCTTATTCTCAAGTTATACAGTTGTGTTTATATTACGGAAAAAGGCATAAATGACATCGAGAATTCTTTGGGTCAATATGTATATGATAAGCTTAAAAATAATTAACATGATGTTTAACTGGGTGGGTTACAAAACTCTTAAAAGTTACTAAATAAGAGAAATGATACTAAGATTTCAAAAGTTTGCCAATTGTTTTCAAAAACAAAAAAGTGAGATGATGACGACAACAGAGAAGGTAAAGATGATTTGAATTAGGATGAAATCAAGCGGTAATATATAAAATAAAATAAAAAGAATATTACTATAATTGAGGTAAAGAATGGATTTTAACAAAACATATTTGAATACATTCCTCAAGTATTTTATCCATGAGCTTAAGCTATACATTAGTGAAGAAAACGTAAACTTTTAGAGTTACTGAGTTTGAACATGTAGATAACTTTAAGGGATAAATCTCATAAGAGTGAATGACCTGACTCCACAAAGCGTTCTTGAATGGAAGACTTTGTCATTCAATACTCGCATTTCTGGAGAACATGCCTATAACGTCCAATGTATACAGGTCTACAGGAGCATGTGAGAGAGTAGAGTCATTTCGTGGTATATTATGTAAGCAAGACAGCATCTCCTGGGCGTCAGGGAACAGCAGTATAACACCCGCTAACCATACAGGTGGTTCCAGGTTCAATCCCCGGCCGACTCACTCTTTCATCTCACAAAGCCAGTAATAAGACTGGTAAATAGGGAAGGTTAGGCATGAGGTTAGCAAACCCATCCCGTAAAAGTGAATACCATTGCTACGAAGACTTCAAGTCTTTAAGCTTGAAACCCTATGTTCCAATGGGGAGCGTAAAGGAATAAAAACAAATAGTCTCTCAATGCTTACACCTCATGTCTGCGCATACTGAATAAATACTAAAACTGAAAACAAAGAAATAAAAATCATACAATCATAGGTTGTAAAATGGTATAGGAAAAAAGGAATAAGATGAAAATTGGTTTGAAAAAAGTGACACAACACTTAGGATTAATTTAGTACATGGATGTATATGTGGTCCACTCTGTGCTACGTCTCTAATAATTACAAGTTGACATTATCTTGTCAAACTCATGTCATTTCACATAATAACCTAAACAGCTTAGATCAGAAGTCGAAAACTCTACCAAGTGTTATAAGTTTCTTGATCTGGCCATCATTTACTGTCAACATGGTCTTACTTGTTGCTTGAAGGTATTTGCACCATTAGACAATGACAGGGCTTAACTTCATAAACTGACTTATCCATCATTACACAAGCTTGTACAACTAATATTTAATATTGCCAGCTTGGTTGTTCCGCAGAATACGGCATCCTACAAATGTAGTTAGGATCTTTTGTATGTTCACCTTTAATAGGCACCCGATATGACAGATTAAACTACTGAGCGGTGCATTCAAAACTCAATGGCCAATTTAATATCTCTCTAAGTCAGTAAGTGATTCAGTTTGGAGAAATTCTAGAAACCTTATCCATTGATCGCCAAAACACCATAGCTGGAACACATGATATGCTCAACCATTTCGCCAGTATATTGAGACAGAATTTTGATACTGACTACTCTCTAAGCAATAATATACATTTGAAAAAACTCGCTCAGTATATCTTTTAGTTTTTACTCATAATGTACCCAAAAGATTGTCGTATGAGCGCCAGATGAAAGTCTGTTGACATAGGGCAACTATGAAACTTTTCATAAGAAAAATTTTATTCGTGAAATCAGAGCTTCTGTTCAGGCATCTTGGGTGAAGCACAATAGTAATTTCTGGCATACAAGTATACACTTTTCACCAATAGACTGACTCAGAATAAAAAACTGAAACAACCACATGCAAATTTATGAATTTTGGGAAATGAGTCATACCTATTGTTAGGGGTTAGTGACATATAGTATCTAACTGCCAAAACTTAGGAAAGTGGAGCAGGGTTCGGACTCGTGACACACTACTTGTTACAATTCGAACACCTAGACCAATGAGCCATAGCTCTACTACTCAGAGTAACACCCTTGGAGGGTTTATATCAACTTTTAATTAAGTTTGGATTTTTAACACGTCTTCAAGAGACAGTTTGAGGAATGATATTCTTCTCCTTCGTTTCTTCTGAATATCTAATCCAAAATTGTTGAAAAGGAAAAATTATTTTAAACACCCAACAATGTCATGACTTTCAATAATTATTAATGAAGTCAGTATTACATGCAATTAAGTTTTTGTAGGATTCAATTAATGATATCAACGAGTAACTAGATAGTAGTTGGTATGTTGTTGTCCGCTACTGAAATCATGATGTATTGTTTTGAAGGAAACAGTTATTTCATATATAATATCACAGAAGATTCAAAGAGACCTAGAGCTCTTAGTTCTGTAGTTGCTCTGATGATGACAGTTAAACCATTAAAGTGTAAAATTAAGTATCTTTATGCCTCGTTTAGGTTTACGCTTGTCTGTGGATAGAACCACAAACTAGGCCCTAGAATGAGAAGTGAACAATTCAGGTGGGCAAAGGAGGTGAAATGAAATTTGTGAACACTCGTGAAACCGGTTGATAATGAGGGCAGAGAATTCAATGTTATGAAGAAGTGCTACTGAATCCCACTATGCTGCACTCGGAACAAATAATGGACAGAATTTAATCCTGTGAATATGCGCTCATCTTGTTTAACCCTTTTAGTGATCAGATCACTTTTATTTGTTGACACAAGTCTATTTTAGGATATTGATTGGTTCTTTGTTCCTTTAAGTTGTCTGACTTAACTTTCTGTAACACATACAACCCTTTAGATCAGTTGTAATGATCGACAGAGGAAATTTCGCATATGATATTAGATGGTTGGAGGCAATCGACAAGAAGCCTTGGACCTAGGTTTCGTTCTAGTTGGCACTTGTCGCACTTGTCTGCAACCTTGAAGGACTAACTTGACTAACAGAATTCAGCCTGCACCAAAGAAATGACTAGACTAGTGCCCAATCAAAGTAAATTTTGCATATCTCATCCGTTATTTCTAACTGAGATAATTCGTTTTCATGACGACAAATAGTAAGTAGTCGGGTTTCAAGACAAATTTTATCAGTCAGAAAACCGATGAAAACCAGGAGGTTCTAGACAGTTGTTTCATCCTAGTTTGAAATTCCTCATCAATATGCACCGACAGTCCCAACATCGATAAAACCCAGGACATTCAGGTTACGAGGACCATTCAGCCACTTGGATCAGAATTCAATGATCCGCGAATTCTAACTTCTGTCAGTTCGCGATTTTCTTAGCACCACCGTCAGTCAATGTCATCGACGAGCATTTGTCCTCACACCCGACCTGGGGAACCCCACTTGTTACGACTTCTCCCTAAAAATCTAGGCAATTTCGTTCTGTAGTCCGTCACAAGTGAGCATCAGATTTATTTTAAAAAGGTAGTGTGTGTGTGAGAGTATTAGCGGCTATTTGATCTTAGCTGAAGAGTTCCAAACTAGGAAGAAACAGGTGTCTAATACTCACTGGTTTTCAATGGTTTTCTAATTGATATCAATCGATGATCAAACTTGGGCAAAATCTTTTGGAAACTAATTTTACCGTAAAACAAAGTAATTTAGAGCGAATACCTCAAAGCTTGATGTCTGTTCTACGTTTAATGTAAGTCTTAAACGCACATAGTCGTAGTACTTATACCCTTATAACGATTATCCTCATACTCTAAAATCAATTTTATTTGATCTTATATTAATTTATTTATTTATAAATAATTTACTTTTAGACATGTTTCATGAAGTCAGCTTAACCCTATCCAAAGACGGTGTTGTCAGTCTTGTTGATGATAGTGATGCTGTCAAGAAAAGCGAAGTTGTTTCCAGGACAAGAATTCAAAATGAGAAACGTTTATGCTCTCTGGATAATCTACACTACATTTATACACGTTTTTGCATTATCAGCGCAGATAGACAACCATTGAATATCAATTCTCCACTCACTACAACTGAATTATGCTTTGCTGTTCGACAAGCTATCGACAGTACAATAAAAGATTTATTTGGTCATTTCTCTGGTCTACCAGTACTATATTATGATTTATTATTTGCCGACAAGATGATAATAATAATAATAATAATGAAAATAATAACAGTTATCAATCATCAATTCGTTCATGGTCTATTATATTAGCTGTACCATTTAATAATGTAGAAAAGATAACCGCAGCATTAAGTTTTATGACAAATGATTTAGCTGGTGAAGAATTTATCAATACACTGCTTGGGGGTGAATCAATAAATTTAAAATGTTACAATAATTCATTAAAATTCTATGCAGATGTTATATCAGTTTCTAATTCATTATTTAATCTATCATGTATACCTGTATTTCATAATCTGAAATGATAGTGTGTAAAATATAAAAGTTTATTATTCGTGTAAATATATATATATATGTATTGTGTAATAGTATATTCCCTTAAATTCTGATTGGGACATAGGGTTTCAAGAGCATATGTTTATTTTATCCTGTTTTCGGCTGTTGTCGTTAGCCGGCCCTAGTGAGCACATGTATATTAGTTTGTTTATTAGATATATCACACAGTGAAACAGTATTATTTACTGGATGACGTTTCGAACAAAATTTATTGTTCATAATCATATCAATTATAATCCACACGACTTCGAAACTTGAGTTTTATAGTTTTCTTTGTTTTCTCCTATTTGTCGTCGCTGGGATAGTAGAATTTTCCAGATATCTGGGTGGACAGGTGATGAATCATTCCTATTACATGTATTTACGCATGATCATATCAGTTGATAGGTATCTTTTGAAGAATATAAAGGCCGTCTATTTGTGTTAATGTTTTTATAATTATCTGTCTACTCCCTTCACCGTGTGACATTAGATTTTAAAACTGTCATCCTAACCCATCCTATTGTATGGTTGTGTGTAATTGTATGTAGTCAGTGCGATAGTTGAAATGTTCTTATCTTATTCGGATCAACCAACCTAGATTTTGCTAGGTTTTTATGTTCGGCTAGTCTGACTGGCCCTGTTCTACTTGTTTGACCTATGTATTTGACCTGACAGTCATCGCAGGCAGGGTATTAGATAAACTAAATTGTTTTGTTTTAAAGGCTCCACAGGATCCTTTAACCGACAAATTTTGTTTCCAATTGAGTTTGTGGGACTGAACGCCAGCCACTTTTATTCCTGTCTTGTTAAGAATTGCACGTAAGGTTTCTGATGTTCCTTCGTTGTATGGAATTACTACTGATGATTTAGATTCCTTATTGTTGATGTTGTCTTGCGCATATTTGACGTGTATGTCGTGATTAATATTATTATTATTATTATCACTATCAATACTATCATTATTTATTTCATTTTTACATCTCCCTACATATTTTCCGACTAATTCATCAGGGTAATTACTAAGTTCCAAGGCTTCTCATATATGTCTCACTTCCTGTCTTAGATTTTCCTTGGTACTGCTTAGTTTTTGTGCTCTGTCACTTAAACATTTCACCAATCCTGTTTTTACTGACATAGGATGGAATTTAAATACTGTGGAAGTCAGGCATAGCTGAACTGTCAGCATTATGTCCTGGAGTGGCACTTTTGTCTTAAGTTCGAGTTCCTGGTCAGAAATGAGTTCGTTTCTGACTGCCTCTATAGCCATATTTATTAAGATACGTATATATAAACTGATAATGTCAAAACTAACCATTTTCTCTTGATTATCTAATTTTAAATGATCTAATCTGTGTTTTAGTCCATAAGAATGTGTTAGTCTAGATTTCAAGTGGCTTTTAAGGGGATTTAATACCATGGTTAAATATTTAGATAATTCATAAGTAAGTAATAGGAATGATTCAACACCTGTCCCAGATATCTGGAAAATTCTACTATCCCAGCGACGACAAATAGGAGAAAACAAAGAAAACTATAGAACTCAAGTTTTGAAGTCGTGTGATTATAACTGATGATGAAATGATTATGAACAATAAATTTTGTTCGAAACGTCATCACTGTGTGATACATCTAATAAACAAACTAATATGGAATTACTTACTACCACAATGTCCAAGTTTTACACAATATAATAATGAGAGTCCATACAGTTTCATCTTCTTCTTGTCACCCTCTAATCTATGCTTAACTGGTCATTTCTCATTCGGGTTTCACTATAGGGCCTGACACATGATGTCACTCAATATTCTTCCCAGCCTCTGTCGAATCCTTCTCCAATTTCTTTCGTATACTTGGTGAGCAGTGGACTCTTGCTTAAATTTGTTACCAGAGTTCTTTGTCGCTTATCCTTTCTAGTTGACTATCTGATCTTATCATTGATCAGGTGAGATTAGGTGTTGATGAAAGTCTGCCACAGCCTGTTGAAAATGCTCTTGGTGACACGAGTGCAAATTCTCTGAACCAGAAAGACATACTGGCTGACTTAACATAATGTCTGAAAATCCGAATTTTATTCCTTGTACTGAATGCAGTAGGTTTTCAGACTGGTTTCAGATTAATCAACATCTGTCTTGCCTTTCGAATCCAACCTCTGACATCTACATCCCTGGTGTCCACCTGTAGTTGCAACAATGCCATCTAGATAAATGAACGAAGTGACATCCTCTGACAAATGTAAATTAACTTTATTAGTCTCACAGAATGTTAATATTATCCGAGATACTCATGAATTGAAAGACTCTTACATCAATTCACAACTTCTAATTCTGTAAAATTAGTATTGACAAGATGAGATACCTAGCTTGTTATTACCCGTGATAAAAGTGAAGTAAACCGATAACAACTTAGTTGAAAGTTTAACCTCATAGTTCAGCTGGTGACAGACTGCTGGATTTGTTATTCAGAGGCTGTTGGTTGGCTCGAATTTTTCCCATGAATCAGATTTCCATTATACCTTCAAACACCACCCATGATGAGAATAATAAATATAAAGTAACTCATCATACAAAGTAAATGAAACGCTTTATTCAAGATTTGTTTTGTAAGGATTTCATTTGATCATGGAGTGATACTAGTTAGAGAACCACTGCGAATCAGGGAATACTGAATATCTGTTTCGTCTTAGTTCGGAACTCCTCATAATTATTCATCCTCGACTCCATCAGGGATCGAATCTGAAACCTTCAGGTTACGAAACCAATCTCAATGTCACTCAATCAGCCACTCAGACGAAATCCAATGACCTATGAATTTTAACTTTTGTTGGTTGACTATTTTAGTACTACCACTAGCCGATGTCATCGGCGATTATTTGTCCTCACACCTGACCTACTAGATCTCACTGAAGCATATTTTCATGATAGTGTTTTAGCTTACACAGCTAATACGCCTTTCTTTCCTCATTCCTTTGCGTTTCGAGTGAAATACAGTGCTTTAAGTTCGAGACTTGAAGGTTCAGTAGTGCTGGTCTTGCTTTTGTTTACACGATGGGGTTGCTAGCTTCACACTTAATCTTCTCTCTTTACCGGACTTACCACCGTCTAGGAGAAGTTTAGGAGTTTGCCGGTAGAACTGGATGCGTGGTTGGCGAGCATCATACTAGTGAACCACTGATGCCCAGCTACTAAGAAATATTATCTAAAACTGGAATAAATCAATTTCTAGCAAACTTTACGCAAATTACAAGATTTTCAATATTAAAATACATTAAATCAATCAAATACGATGGAAGGCAATGATTAGTATTACATCGGATGGACAAAGTGGTTCGTAATCTTGCTCACATTTTTATTGTCACTTTGTTCACATCACTGTGTGCGTCGGTGGCACAGTGGTTAGGACTCTCGCCGACCATGCACATGGTCCGGGGTTCGAGCCCACGCCGGCGCACACCTGATATCTATGGTCGGCCTGCGAAATTTGGGCTACCGATATCCACGCTGAAAATTCCATACTTGTACCAAAAGTACAGTGTGGAATCAAGCTGTAAATCAAAAAATAAAAAAAAAATATGTAGCAAGTGGATACAGTGAAAAACGTGCGAGGACTTTCTGAAGCCTAAAGCGTCTAGAACGTGAAGGAATACTAAGTTTTACAACTGATATACTCAAAATGTTAACCTTTAGAATTAGCTTACATTACCTGTCCAATAATTTAGACTGCACCACATTACCATAGATAGGTCAAGAAATGATATGCGGTCGGCGTTATCATTTTCAACCTGGTCGCATACTTTGACAAAGACCTGAAAAACAGTTAAAAAATCACTTCACTATATGTCACAGTATATTTGTAGACGCGTAAATTGTAATGAGAGATTGCAATATATGTGTTTTATCTTTTTTGAGTATGTGTTTAAGTCGCGTCAAATATAATTAGTGCGTTGGCACAGTGGTTAGGACTCTCGCCGACCATGATGCACATGGTCCGAGGTTCGACCCCCTGCCAACGCACACCTGATATCTATAGTCGGCCTGGAAAATTTGGTCTACCGATATCCATGCTGAAAATTCTATACTTGTACCAAAAATACGGTATGGAATCAAGCTGTAATCAAAAATAAAAAATAAATTATTATTATTATTATTATTAAAACACAAACTCAGTACAATATAGACACAATAAGATGCACTATAGTTTATGTGACGGCTGAGATAGTGCCTGGACATCCAGACGGAAGTAGGTGATTGGCTTTGAATTTAAGCTTAGTCCTCGATGCAGAGGAGCAGCGTTCCAATAGTTGCCAGTGAACAAAACCAGTTCATACACTATTAGATCCTTTCGGATTGTGTAGCTCATGTACGCCATATATATGGGTGAGGGCTTTTCAGATCCTCCAAGTATACTTCAATGTCTACCAGTCAGATTGTAAGCTGCAGAAGTCCACATTTACTCATTCACTTTTGTGAGGAAAACCGCCATCGCATGAAGACAGTGAATGTGACTAACCTGGTAGAGGCTGTGAACACATCGCCACATGGGAACATTTCGAGAGGAAGACAATAGTCTCTACACCACATTGACTGTACAAGGTGGTTTATTTGGGTAGTGCACTAAACGCAGATGACAGATATCCGCCTTCATCTAGAAAGATTCAAAAGAGGAAATTTCGGTGTAGTCTTAACAGTTAAATATTCAATAGGTTATTAAACGAAGAAGGTGGTTAGTCAGTTTTGACCGATTAGTCGCAGCAGTTTTTCAGAAATATGAATATGTGGGTTAGTGGCACAGTGGTTGGGACTCTCGCCGACCATGATGCACATGGTCTGGGGATCGATCCTCTACCGACGCATACCTGATATCTATGGTAGGTCTGGAAAATTTGGGCTACCGATATCCATGCTGAAAATTCTATACCTGTACCAAAAATACGGTATGGAATCAAGCTGTAATTAAAAAAATTGATGAATGACTTCCCAATACAAGTCAT